CTATGGAAGAACTACATGTTGAATATCAAATTTCTACATCTTCTTCTGAATAGAACAATCTTCAACGCCTACAGCTTTAGGTTCTTCTTTTATGAGCATTTTATTTGTAAAAAATAATACAGTTTAAACAGTTGAGAAGGGTGAATTTACAAAATATCTTAATGAAGAAGCTTTACCTGCACTTAAATAATATGATCCTTTTGAATGGTGGAGAGTTAATAAAATTCATTATCTGCGATTATCAAATTGCACAAAAATATCTTTTCATACCAGCAACTTCAGTACCATCAGAACGCTTTTTTTCAGATGCTGAAAACCTAATCACCTGTGAAAGTAATCAACTCAGTTCACGTCTTGTCAATCAAATAATATTTCTGAAATGAAATAAGAAATATATGAATATATTGGATTAGTATTTTAATTCATTTTGTTAAATACTTAGTTTTTATTATTTTTAATCAATAAAGATTATGATATTAACTTGCTTAAAAGTAAAGTTTCTTTTGTATCGCTAAATTTAAAAAAATAATTTAAAATAAAATCTGCTGATTATGCCGATTATCTGATTTTCAAAACTGAAACTGTTAATCATTTTTAATAACCGATTAATCGTTTGAAAAATCGATTTTTACCCTTTCAATTTTCGATTTCAGTTTTTAGAATCAATTCCGATCCCTAGTTCAATTTTGAGTTTATTTACAATTCTTGAAAAGACCTCCTGACTTTGAATATTATTCTTTAATAACTTCCAAATGTTCTCTATCAGTTTAAATCAGGGGAATTTTCTGGCCAATTAAAAGTTGCGATTTTATTTGACTTAAACCATTTGTTTGTAATTTTTGCGATATGTATGAATGCAATGCATTGTCTTGTTGAAAATGGCAGGTCTTTCCATTAATTCACACACTGTATTTTGAATTGAAGTAAATATGAATTTGGATAGTAATGTAAGTATTTGAATTGATTCTTTCATTTCCTTCTTTTTTTCAATACAAAAAATTAAAGGCCTTTTTGTTCTTCTAATGAAACATCCCAAACTATTACTGATTTTCAACTACTTTTAAAAGTAGATGCTAAACATTCAATATTAAACTTTTCCCTAGTATTATGCTAAATACTTATTTGCCTAGACTGCTTTTCAATCTCAACACTTAACTCATTCGAAAAAATAACTTGTACCCAATCATAAACACTTTTTTCCTTATATTTTTCATACCAGTTAATATAGGTAATGCATACTTTTCTGAAATAAAAGACTTCTTTGCAGCAATATAAGAATGAATTCCAATAAAAACGCACATCATTTTTTTGCTATTTTATTAAAAAGTGCATTTTTTTATTATTATTAAAAAGAGATGATCGTCTGAAGTGTGATAAATTTTTAATATTTTCAGTTTTCTGGTATTTGATAATAAATCTGCATATTGTGGTTGGATCTTGACCCATTTTTCTGTTATTTAAGCAGGATTTAGACTTTTTATATATGCTAATAATTTTCTCTTATTATGAGAAGTCATTTCAGTATATATAAAAGTTATTTTTAACTACACAAAATATTATGTAGTTTCATAATTATTTTCAAATTTCAATTAAATTGCAATTTAATAGAACTATATGGAAATTTAATTGCATCATAAGTTGAAATTTAATTGCACTATTTTTTTTAATTATAGTAACTATCTTTAAATATTACACATTAAAAATTAGGCATTACTTTTTAACGTGACTGTACAGTATATTTAATCGATTATTAGAAACTAATGACATAATTAGCTGCATATAAAAAATGAATTACACCTTATGATTTACAATTTGAATTTAACAATTCTTCAATGATTTAGTGATATTGTATAGATGATGCTTTACCAAAAGATCATAATCATATTTCTTAACTTACTATAAAATATTTCTCAAAAACTTTACATGCAGTTACATGTGAAAGAATATGATCATCTCTTAGATGATTTATGGAAAGCATAGATTTACTTAGAAAAGGTTGAAAAAATGCAAAAGTTAGCTACATTTTATTTTACAAATGCAAAAAAAGAACTGCCATCTTATGGTAATAGAAAAACTAACAAAGGATTATAAATTATTTTACATAATGCAAATTTGTATGAAGATAATGAATTTAAAGTAGAATTGGAAGATAGAATAGATAATATATATATACCAGAAGATAGTAATAATATAACAAATTTTAAATTTTGACATATCAGAGATCTTGAAAGATCTTGATGAATTTATTGACGATTTAGATATGGATTTAGAAGAACAAACTAATGATAATGATGATGCCAAAAATGATAATGTAGAAGCAGATAGTGCAGAAAAAGATTGGGATCCTAATTTAGCTGTTAAAGCTTATTTGTAAATTGTATCTATGCATGTATAAGTTTTCATTTTAATAAAATTTTTTTACACTAAATACTTTATTATAATTTGATTATAAAAATTACATAATAATTACTTAATTAATATACTAATATAACCAATAAAAAGTTTTCGATAAGTTTCAACAAGTTTCATCAATTTTGAAAAGTTTGGAAGTTTTGGTGGTTTCGAAATTTAAAGGATTTGGCGAAACTAATTTCACCAAGTTTTGGAATCGACCTTTAATGAAATTCATAGATTCACCCATAACATTAGTTGTAAGCATGATCCTATGAAAAAAATCCCATACAGTTTCTGTGTAGCTTTGTACTAAAAAAACACTACAATTTTCGGACTGTGCAGGGTGCCAAAACATGAAATAATACTAGTACCTGTACATTCAAATTTTTAGCACATTTTTCCTAAAACTTCTGAATTAGGAAAATCAAATATACTAATCAATATAGCTTTTTTGTATGATTATTTCCTAGCTTAAATTTATTATCATAAATTGTATTTTTGTCTGGTTTACTTTGAAAACTAAGAAAGGTTTTAAAGTTCAGTTTGTTATTATTTGCAATTTTTGTAAAAAAATAATTAATTTAATTTACGCACTTTTAATAATATCAAATTTTCTATACATCGATAAATACTAAACTATACAAAATCTGTATGTTTTAATTTTTCAATACAATTTCTGTACGATTTTTATATATTTTAAATTTCAAATTTTTTTTTGTACGATTTCTCTAAATTCAAATTTCTGTACAATTATTTTTGTATGGAAAATTAAAAAACTACACAAAAACTGTATGATTTCAGTATACACCTGTTCGAATTCAGTACAACTTTTTTTCATAGGGGAACCTACACTTCATGCAGCAATAAATTCATATGATATAGTTATTATCTCAAAAATAAAAACGTATAGAAATTTAACTTACTTTAGGAATTGCCGATAATCGCGTACCATAACCATACTTGCTTAAGCACCTTTCAACCAATCCTGTTACAAGTCAGACCCAATTTTTTGTTAACTCTTTGATAGAGCTGCTGTTGTATGTTTAATATAATTCAACAAAGTAAAAGACTTAGTACAAATTCACTAATATTTAATACTTTTTGCATGTGATCTATCATAGACTGAGCCGAAATGGAATGACGTCTAGTATCATGGTAAACTTATAAGTTATCAAGTCATTATCAAGTTTTCTGCCCATTTAAGTATCCATCAAATCATCAGATATAAAGCCAGATTTGAAATTTAAGATAAAAATAAAATAAAGTTTTCATTCTTGACTTGTGCACTACATGGGAATCGAATCCTCAAAAATAAAGAACAGAATGTTATACAATGTAAATAAATTATCATATTATAAATAAAAAACCATCCATACCTGAAAAATTATAATGAAAAGAAAATAAAAATAAAATTAAAAAAATACATACTGATTTCTTTCGAAGTAATGACTTTATACAAGTACAAAATTATTTTATTTAGTGCTGAGCCACAACTTATAACTCCAGAACTTTAATGACGTATCCGATAAATTTAGCGATAAATAAGCAAACGAGCTGGGTAGTCTACTACAAAAAAATTAATAATGTTTCAAACCTTGTTCAGCATTTTAAAAACGCTTGCATAAGGATTTATTTTAATTTCCTAAAAAAAAAATAAAATATGTTTTGATTCAATTCTGCATTATCTTCAACTTTTGTTTTTTGCGGTATTCTATCTAAATAATAATTATGTCAAAATCTTTTATTAGAAGATAATAAATATGTGAGATGTGTATCGGGGTGTATTTTTCGGATAATTTTTTTTCATGATTTTTGTCGACTCAAGAAAATTATTTACTGTACATTTATACAAGTAAATTTTATAATTTATGTTCAATTGTTTCTTGTTTATTAATTTATAAATTTTTATTATAAATAAATTCTTAATACATACTCACATCTATACTACACTTCTTTTAATTACTATTAAAAATCTGTTTCTTAAATTCTTAAACTATTGAAGAAATTAATATACTATATCATATCGATAATTTATTTTTATATTTTAATAAGAATTACTGGATTTATAGTTAAAATGCTCGCCCAATTCTAAGTATTGTTATGAACCTCCCATAATAGGTCTACCAACTTACCAAATAATTTGTGTCAACAATAAATATTGCCATAGCGGGTAGCTAAATCGTGTCAGTCCGGGCTTGAAACATATTTACAGAACTCGAAATCGAATACCCGATCATAGTTAAATTTGATAATATTTAATGCCGAAATAGTAAATATTTATGTAAACTAAATTGATAATTTTTATTTATACGCAGATAATTATTACAAGAATAATATAAAACTTGAATTATAATCCTGTAAAGTTTATTTTTAGTCTAATTTTTGTTTGCGAAGTCATTTTTATGACCAAATTTTTTTTAAAAAATATAAAAATAATAACCTGATATTTTTTTTTAAAAAATACTTATGAAAAATTAAGTTACCATCGGAAAATGACTTCTAGTCAAACGAAAGCTCGACGATTAATATAAACTTTTGAATGAAGTTCGTATATATATATATTTTTAATATACAATTTTTAAATCAAAATAAATAAATAAATAATTTTAATCCTTAACGTCATTACTAATAATTAATTTATTTTTGATTAGCCTTGTAAAATAATTAAGCAAAGATAAAAAAAAACGAAGTGAACATACGTACGTTTTTGTGCGGATCAAAGTAAATACATTCAATTTGTTCATTTGAAAATTTTAATGTAAATGCTTTATCTGAACAAATAAAACAATCATTACCTTTATGCTTACAATCAATATGTTTCATATTAATTCGATTAAATTTTTGTCTCAGAAAAATTGGACCACAATTATTTTCGTTTGTGAAATATAAACTAATATATCTCGGTTTTAAAGGATCACTAAATTCGATATATGATTTTTGTCCAAAATACAGTGTACCGTAAGTCTTAGGGTCATAATTTAAAATTACAAGAGTATAAAGTTTAAATTCAGGTAAATTAACGTAATGATTTTTTTCCAAACAATAAGAAAATGTATATGATCCAATTCTATTTATTCCGTGATTATCAAAAAATTGATGTCCAATGATGAGAGATTTATTCGAAGAATCCAATTTTTCTAGTACAGGAATCCCAATACAAGGAACTTTATTTGTTAATGAATTGTATTCAAAATCTAAATATTCTTTATAATACATAGATTGTGATGAATTGGATGTAGTATTAATATCTATTTTAGCGATTTTGAATTGAACATCAAAATCTGTAATAAAATTTAAATCTTTATAATAACCAATTATCATCCATCCGATATTTAGTTTGCGTTTACGGGCTTCATCTCCAGTTGCTTTCTTAGTGCAATGAATTATAAGTTGTGGATTAGCACCTGGGAAGCAAAGGACTTGACAGCTAAAAAAATCATTTGTTTTTTTATAAAAAAGCTTTGGTTTTTCCGTATCAACAATTGTTGCAAAGATGCTACAATCAGTATCCTTGATTCGAAAAATTTCTGAAATATCATCTGGTATATCTAATTTAATGACTTGTGGTTCACTATATGTTATTGGAATCTCGTGGGGTTCAATGTTAGAATAAAGAATTTTTTTCCCTAAAGATGAAATTATTAGTTTACGTAAATGATTAGGTAAAAGCTGGAAAATTCCAACTGGTTTTTGAAATTCTATGCAATCCCAATTTCTAAAATCTTTTAAAGATTTAATCCAAGCATTTTCATCAAACTCTTTAAAGCTAGCAGGATGCGCTCCTCCAATCAATTTTGTACATCCAGTTTTATAGAAATTAGATTTGCTGTTCGAGCACTGAGAAGCGATTCCACTTGAAGTTGTTCCACATGCATTCATAGAACCTTTATAACCATTTTCTTTGGTATATTTCTCCAATATTTCTAACTCTCTATAATATGCTCTTCCACCCAAAATGACTTTAGTTGGAATGAATTGACCAAATTTTTCAGTAATTTGCTTAAATTTTTTAGGATCTTTAAGATTTATGGCATTTTCCACCTCTTTAATAAACTTTGGAGTTGGTTCTAAAAAATTACCAAATTCCAATGATACCTTACCATACTCTGTATAATGATAGGAAATTTTTTCTTCAAAATTTGTTTTTACATTTTTAGCCCTTTCACCTAATATCGCTAAATTAACAAAATTCTGTAAATTAATATTGCTACTAAAAAATAAGTTTGTTTTTATAACACGATCTTCAACTGAATTAAATTCAACCTTTCCTTCTCCACATCCTACTGCACCTATTATTGTCATTTCACAATTCTTCATTATAAATGCTCTCTCATCTGCTTTCTCATTTTTATTAAAAGTCATGGTTCGTCCATAATCTAATTTGCACAAATAATTTAAGAATCTCCAATCATAGGTCGAGCTTTTAATTAAATATAATTGAATATCTTGATCATCGGAGTTATTAAGCACAATAATTTCATTTAATTTAACATGATCCTCATCTTTTTGCCTTATTTCAATAAATTTATTTGCCTTAAAATTTGAAAATGAGAACGTGTTATTCATTTGATTAAAGCTATCATCTTCGAGTATGATACGAATTTTTGATAATTTTTCATTAATATTCAGGTCGTAACGGAATGATGTAGGAGGTTTGGCATGAGTGTAATTTACTGTTACTTTGTAAACTTTATTACTTTTATTTACTTTAAAACTATTCCCAAGCATATATCCAAACATTTTACAAAATATTTTCAAGAGCCTAAAAATTAAATTAGAAAATTTATACCTTTTTTGAACCTTTTGTGACACATGACTTTTACGAATATAGTCTAGTGTGACTCGTATGATTTACTTTTTGTGTGACTCATATGACTTTTTAACTCATTTGGGAAATCATATAAAAAATTTCTCAAAAAGAATATTTTTTGTAAAATTCTCTTTAAATGTCCGAACAATCGTCATTTACTGCGGAAATTACTGCGACAAGGCTATCAACTGAGCAACAATTAATTCAACAACTCAAGTTGAATCATGGTTTATTCTTGGACGGAAATATCATACGACCAAGTAACGAAGCTATTTTTTCCAATGATGGCGAGTTGGACATAAGCTTATATGAAGGGGAACCTATCGTTTACACTATTATAAACGATCCAAATTCTCCTGAAAATTTGTTCACACTCAACAATAATATTCGTGTTAATATAAGTGAACCTTCAAACTTACAATTTTCCGATGCTTGTATTAATTTTCCGATTGCTGAGTTCGTATATAAAGGTGATTTTTTAGAAAAGTTTTCGAAATGCAAGGATAAAAACGATGAAAGATTGTATGGCCATTTCTTCGCAAGAAATATTGTGATTGGTGGCAAATTATTTATTAAAAATTCAAATTTAGCTAGTACAAAACAAAAGGGTACCTTACAAACACATTTAACTGGAATTTATAATTTTGTTAAATATAATAAAGAAAATCCATTCAGTAATGTCGATTGGTATCGTTTACCAAAAGTAGAAACTTTAAATGGGCAAGTGATAACATCCAAGAAAATGTTAACCGATTGGATGAATAATCTATATCAAATGAATATGTTTGACATAATTTCATATAACGATATCATTCCCGTCTTTCAGTTAAAACCTGATATATTATCGATAGATGACTTAGATGACTTCAAATTTTCCAATGAGATACAGCCTGGGATTGTTAGTTTTGGGGAAAAATTAAGTTTTAGTAAATGGACAGAGCACGCCAATCTATATTTTCACTTTCAGGGTTTAACATTCAATAAGGTTTATAAGAATTATGAGGTGGAAGTTAGCAAGAAGAATGCCTTTAAGTTCAATGATATACCTGTAATAAATTCCATTAAAAAATCATACTTGAAATCTATAAAGCCGGCAACTGATTTAGAAGAATTTTTCATATCTAATAATATCACTTCAGTTAAAGATACAAGTTCATTTCCTTTTATTGAAAAATATATTAATTTTGATAACAAGGATCATATACATTTGGTAGTCAAATGTGAGCAATATGAAATTCTCATAGATCGAGTTCATATCATGTGCACTAATGAATTTGAAAATTCTATAGATATAGCACTTAATAGTAAAGAGCCATATAAAGCTTTACAAGATACTTTTGATGAATTTGGGCATATATTCCCACAGAGAATTGTCTTGGGGAGATCGCTTCATAGAAATTTACATAATATGTCATCTAATACTTTTGAGAAGACTAATCTGGATTCTTTAAATCATGATCATTTGAAGTCACATTTAGATCATTTAAACGTTTCATATCTTTTAACGCAAGGTGGAGATATTATCGATATTGATAATGACGTTGAATTATCTAATTGGGTTCGAGATACAAATTCCGATTTAGAAATTATTGAATATGATCAAATAATTTCCACATATGATATCCTTCGAGCTAGATTAAACCCGTGTATAAAAATAGATGAATTATTAAATATGCAAAATGATCTTAAAATTATAATGACAGGGATTACTTATTTGAAAGATTTAGATAATCATAATACTGAACATTATAAATATATTAATGTCGAGCCATCACTGAAAGATAGTAGTTATGAAGTTTTTGGTTCAATTATTTTAGAAAATAGGAAGCTAGACGAAGGTTGTATTAATTTTGGAATGTATGACCGTAATGGATTCACTGCAATTATAAAAACTTCAAAGTTTACTAATATTAGTATAACGGAATGTCATATTTTATGGTTTATTATTGGGATTCCTTCGAAATTATCGGTTTTTAGTCCAAATAATCGAGCATTTGTTGTTGATCTTATTAAAGCTCCAATTATATTAAAATCAGATAGTTCTGATTATGATTACAGGATCAATACTGAATTTGCATTGCATGAAAAAGATTACATTTTTATTAATTCGGATTATTCAACAGAAAACTTTGGTTCTAATAATATTAAGATAACTGGTTGGGAAAGTAACGCTTTTAACGTTCAGATAATTAATTCCACTAATGATGAATCAAAACTTGATATAAATGTATGTATTTTAAGTTCAGGTTTATTAAAGATCGATAATAGTGGAGAGGAATATTCTATAGATTCAATTGGGTATACTATGACCATTGAAAACAGGAACCTCAAAATGAAAAGGATTCCCTTTATTGACAAAGTTTATGACTATTTTCTAACGCCCATTGTTGAATCATTAGGTATTTGTTTAAATTTTTTTATCTTAGTAATATTATGTCCATAAAACGAGCTACTTATTAATAAATGAGAATCGAGAATGTTCTGTGGTTTTAAAAAAAAAAAATAAATAAACTCGCAACGTATTTAAAGCTTCCAAATAAGGAGGTAAAAAACATAAATCATTCTTGCAATAGGGTTACATAATATGGAATCACCAACCGCATGGGATATTAATTATGGACGTAATCTTTTAAAAATAAATTCAGACAAGCTTATAGTGACTTATACAGGTGAATTTATTACATTTCATGTTGTATAACAATTATAATTTTACTGTTTTCGTATGTAATCACTTATTCTTGCATAACTACAATTATTTTCAAATATAAAGGTCTGGGTGGAGAAGAAAACTGTGCTGCAATTCGAGCAAATTTTCCAATTCCTGCACAATGTGGCTTATTTTATTTTGAAGTTGACATTATGGATAAAGGGGAAAATGGGTACTTTTGTAAAACTTTGGAATCATATATAAGTTGATTATTTCATTTAAAATTTGCTGATAATTCAATTTTAAAATTCCATAGGGTGATTGGAATCGGGTTTTGCACAAAATCAGCTAGCCTAAATAAAATGCCAGGTAATTTTATTCGTCTTTTTATCAGCTTAATTTGTTAAATAAAATTATTTATTGAATTATTTATATTGTAGGTTGGGAAGATAGCTCATGGGGTTATCATGGTGATGATGGAAACACGTATTTTAACTCTGATAACGAACCATATGGAACAGGTTTTATGACCGGAGATACTATTGGATGTTGCTTAAACTTTAGAAATAATACGGTATTTTATACAAGAAACGGAGTGAATCTAGGTATATTACAAATTCTTGGTTATTTCAAGTTAAATAATAGAAATTTAATTTCTATTGTATATTTTAAGGTATTGCATTTCGAGATTTGAAAAAAGCTTTGTATCCTTGCGTTGGAATGATGTCGACAGGTGGTTCTGTAGGAGCAAATTTTGGCTATAGAAAGTTCAAATACACAGGTATTTTTATTTAGTTTATTTTTTTTATTTTCTGTATTAATATTAATTATTCTTTAGTGATGAATGATGATGATATTGATGAATCTTTAAAGGAGAATTGGGCTGAAATTCTTAAACCTTATAATTATAAATTAATAAATCAACAGATTAATAGATTTACAGATTTAAAATTATCATCAGTTGCTGAACACATACTAAAATACCGAGGAAAGTTTTATATTGTTATAGGTGAATATGAACTAGCACTTTCAGATTTGAAAAAGCTGCTCGAGTTTGAGGCAAATAATACATTTGCATTAAGATATCGAGGAGAAATTTTTTGTATGATGGAAAAATATGAGGAATCACTTGCAGATTTAAACAAATTACTTGAAATCAAAGCAAATGATACATGGACGTTAAATGCTATTGAAGTAGTTAATAAGTTGAGTATAAATTTAGTTATGTTAAGGATTAAATTTGATAATTCTTTTCTAATTAATAAAATATCAAATTTTCAGCAAAGATTTAAATGGTAATGGAATTTAGTAATGAACATTTACGTATTTGCTATATGAACGTTTACATATTTGCTAATAATTCTTAATTTTTTATTTTAAATTAATATTATAGCTTGTAGGTTATTTAATTTTTTATATATCTTAACTTAATCGAAATATAATTAAATTTTTTAATTTTTTATTAAATAATATCTAATATCATAGGGAGTAAGTTATTTTTAATTTTTTTTATATTGCAATTTTAAACATAACATAATTAATTTTTTTAAAAATTTTTTCAATTGCATTTTAGCTGGTAAGTTATAATTTAATTATACTTTTTATTGTAATTTAAACTCAACTAAATATTTTATTTAAAAAATAATTAATAATTTATAATATAAACTTTGCAAAAAAAAAAAAGCTATGCCAAATGATACTAAGATTGATTGGTTAGAGGATGCAATTGCTAATAAACATATCAAATACTATGAATACTCGGATTTCAAAGATAAAAAACTTATAGGGAATGGTGCATATGGCAATGTTTATTGTGTTAATTGGAAAAATAAGCGTCGTTTCACTTTGAAATCTTTCAAAAATCATCAAAAAGTCATTAAAGAAATTTTGAAAGAGGTTTAGTATAGTATTCTATAAAATTTATTTAATAATAAAAAATTTACATTAAATACATTTGTTTTATATATCTTAATACAGTTTAAACTGCATTGGAATATTAGTTATCATAAAGATATTAATATAATACGGTTATTTGGAATCGCAATGGAGGAACCCAGTTAGTATTAGAAATATATTGTGATTGAATTTCATGAAATTAGTTTTTATTTTATTCATAAATGTTTTTTTATTCAGATGTATACTCTTTAGTCTTGGAATATGCAGATGACACATTGAAAGATTATTTATATAAGCACAAAAAACTTAATTGGGATGACAAATACCGGTTGGCATTTCAACTGTCAAGTGCTGTAGAATGTTTGCATGATGAAAATATTATTCATCGTGATTTGGTACTACAAATTTTCTAATTCTAAATGTTTTTTATTAAATATGTTATTAATTCTATCTTTTTAAATTAAAGCATGCCAAAAACATACTAGTGCATCAAAATACTATTAAATTAGCAGACTTTGGTTTATCAAGGAAAATTACAGAAGCTTCAAGTGATGCATCAGATATATTTGGTGTTATACCGTATATCGACCCAAAATTTTTAAATAATAATAAACGTTACAAATTAAGTAAAAAATCTGATGTATATAGTGTTGGAGTACTTTTGTGGCAAATATCAAGTGGGCGTTCACCATTTTGTGATGAAGCAAATTATGATGATATTTTAGCCTTTGAAATAATCCTAGGAAAAAGAGAAAATGTTATTCCAAAAACTCCTATCAAATATAGTGATTTATATAAAGGTAAATGAATATAGGTTTTATTATTTATTTAAAATATACGAATTAATTTTTATTATTTACGTACATAATTAGAGTGTTGGAAATATGTACCAGATGAACGTCCGGATATACAGGAAGTTGTTTCAACTCTTGAAGCAATAGTTTCTCCCAGGCAGAGTAATACAACAGTTGATGAATTAACAAACAATCCATCACATGAAGATTTATCTCAAGTGATTATTTATACGAGTTCAATTTCACAAACATTATCTTCAGTTATCCCTTTCACACAATTCATGCCGCTTGTTAAAGAAGTAACTGATGTTCTTAATGGGGTTATAGATTTATATAAGACAGCTCAACATAATAAAAATATAACCAAAGTCTTGATGGAACGAATTATTGCAGCAAACTTCTCAGTTGAAATGATAAAAGCAAGAGAAGATTTATTTACTTTAAATAATTATACAAGTTTACAAAGATTAATTCAAGTTCTTAAAAAAATGATAAAATTTATTGAAGAAATTACACAATATAATACTGTGCAAAAATTTTTGAGTGCTAAATCAATCGAAAAACAATTTAAAGCATTATGTAAGGATTATGATAGTAGCATTAACTTATTAAATTTTATCTTAACGGTTTACTTTAGGATTAATTCAGATAAAGAAGATAAAATTTTAAAGGAAGACATTGAGGAACTTCTAAAGTTTCAAGAAGCTTTAGCGGAAAGTATGGACAAAGTGGATAAGAAAAGAATTCATGTGAACGAAAAAATGTCTGGAGCAAGTGACAAAGTGAACTTGGTTATTGAGAAAGTCAGTGAAATGCAAATCATTATGCAAAATTTGATGAATGACAATAACCCAAATAATGAACAACGAAATCAAATCAGAATTGATACTATCTTTAATGAACCCCTACTTCCATTCGGAGATTATGAAGAAGCAGATGAGCCACCTCGAAGTGATAGACTAAGAAAATATGTCCATGTAAAAACTAAAGAAGATTTTGCTTTTGAACGTGTGGATAAAGGAAATTATAATACAGTTAAAAACCAAGTCACAATTCTAAAAAAGTTAAAAGATTGTCAAAATATTATTCATTTCTATGGCGTTACTAAAGATGATAAAGATGATTTTCATTTAGTAACCGAATGGGCAGAAAATAAGTGTTTACGTGAATATATTTCCTTAAATGGGCAAAATATCGAGATAAAATTGAGAATTAAATTTGCTTATGAAATCGCTAAAGGATTAAATTTCCTTAATTCTGTCAAGGTAATAAATAAAATTCAAAAATTTTATTGAATATGTTCAAATATTAAAAATAAAAATTATTATTTTCATCCATAGATCGTTCACCAAGATATTAGATCAAAAAATATCGTAATTACATATTATGAAGTTGCAAAGATTACAAATTTTAAATATAGTGGAGATCAAATCGCAGTTACTAGTAACCTATCAGCAAATAAAGAAAGTCTTGTATATGCTGCTCCTGAAATGTTTAAAAGAATTACAGAGGTAGCAGAAAAAAACAAGAATAATAAACGAATTGCAGGAAAGGATACAAAAAAAAAATATGATACCAAATGTGAAGTTTACAGTTTTGGTATTCTTCTTTGGGAAATTGCTGAATGTAGAGTTCCGTATGAGGGTATTAGTGACTTTTTAGAAATTACCAGACTAGTAATAAGTGGACATCGAGAACCCTTTACACCTGGTATCGATATCCCAGAAAAATATAAATCTCTCGTAAATAAAGCTGTCGACCAAAATCCAGGTCTGCGGCCTGTATATGCAAAAATGTTGACGGATCTTCAAGATATCTTTAATAATTATACTAAACCTACTTTGAATAACGGTAGCGGTAGATTTCCTCCAAATACTCCCGTCCGAAAAATGACTAGCAGCACGACAGAAGAAGATTGTGTTATTGATTACTATAGTATTGATTTGATGAGTCTTGACAGAGCAATTGAAGGACACAAAAAAGACAGTACAGATAAACTTACATTATATAAGTGTTTCGATACTTATGCTAAAATAGGTAATCCAGGTGCAAAATATTGGAAAGCTTATTATATCTTAAAAGATTATTCTGATCTTGATTGTTCTAAAAGTGAAAAATATAAAATTGCTGCTGAACTTTACAAAGAAGCTGCAGATTATGGGGATGAATATCCTGACGCGCAACTTCGTTATGCGACATTGGTTTTGCATGGAAAAGGGGTTGAATCAAATACGGAAGAGGCCGTGAACTATTTTGTTAAAGCAGCTAAAAATGGTCACGTGGTGGCTATGTTTAATATTTCTACTTATTATTTTTCCCAAGGTAATGTAGAATTAGGCAGATATTACATGATGGATGCTGCTAGTAAAAAATATGAGCAAGCAATTAGGTATTGCAAAGATAACAACATAAGTTATTAGTGATGGCAAGTGACCTGAAATGACCCAAATGACTTTGATGACTGGTCACTATTCATTAGGTCACTTTAAAAGCTGCTGAATGACCTATGACTTAGGTTATTTTATAAATACTGTGGATGTTAAAACAAAATATATTAAAAACTCAAATAAAATATTATTTTATATAAATAAATAAAATTATCTAATGGAATTCTAAATGTTTCCGAATTTACTCACCTATCTATATCCGGAGATATTGATATTTGTCCGTCCGGATTTATTAAGGTGAAATTCCGTAATTGGGATAACATTTTTTTTTAATTTATGACTAGGCTAACTTTGAACGTTTATGGAAAGGATAATATAAGTCATTTCGATTCTTACTTTGTAAAAAGGATGTTAAAAAGTATATTTAGCCGAGACAAAAGGTGATCATGTAAATTAATCAAATAAATATTTCAAAACCTTTCTCCTCATTTCATTCAATTTTGAATGTAAACTAAACTAAATGCTTCCATATAATTAACAGGACCTGTTTATTCTTCATGATAATGTTGCGAAAATAATAATAAATTTATATATAAAAGTCTTTTGATATTAAAATCGAGTTACATTCATAGTAAATCATAGCAAACCGCCCATTTTGTTAATGATTATTTATTTCAAATAAAATTTAAGAACGCGTTATTTTGAAGATATTGACTGAAAAAAAACGCAACAGAATTTAAAGTTAGTGACGCTTATCTTATGTCTAACGCCAAGGTCAACATAAGATAAAGACCCGCCAACTATCTAGTAACCATAAACCATAAAATACGATTTACAAATGATTCCTGGCGTTTGATAATTCCCGATTCAATTATGCTTAAAATCTTTTTTTTCATGAAAGCCATTTTCGTTGTCTTGAGACATATTTATTTTAAATCTCAAAGATTCTGACTCATCAAGAAAAAAATTTTTTTTTATATATTAAGAGAGAGAACGATTTAAAAATCGTCTTTTAATAATTGAAGATATGTTGTACCTCAAATGCATGAATGATCATCCTAAATCGGATTTCGCACCTGTATATCCCAAAAGTTAATATCGTTTCAAATATACGCTCGTCTTTGTCCGAAATTATCACTTGGAGTTGTCAGTTTTGGAAATATAAAAGTGTCCATTGTTAATTATTAAAAATATTAATATTAATTATTTAATAGTATTCCGTATAAAAAATATTCCTGACAAGCTACCATCCCGAGGTTTACAAATCCCGATCGAAATCCAGAAAAGTTAAAAGATCAAAATTTTCGGATTTATATATTAAAATTTAATCAAGTTTATTTATATCACGATACGCTTAAACTCATATTACTTTAATAGTGTTAATAATGTTATTTTTAAATATAAGTCTAGAAATTTAATTTACTACAACAGATACAATATATAAAACTTTATGTCATCCGTCATAAATTGTTTATACAGATAGCTTCCAAATCTTTCTTGTGAAATATTTTAACCTATTTGCATGGATGCGGCGTTTTCCTTCTGCGTTTTCCATTTGAAAAAAAAAAGCTTAGTCACAGAAACAGAAATCACCTTTTATATTGTGAATTTATGCATCAATGGATAACAATGGACTATGGAAACTTTAATGGACACAATAGAAATTGTCTATTGTCCATTGTTTACCAATTGATATATCCATTGCCAACACTGGCCAAATGAACATAGTCATTTTAGAGAAAGTCCCAAATTATCATTTCGGATTGTCACTAAATTATTATTCAGTTCTTTTAAGTTCATCTCATACTAAAATGAAACTAAAATATTCCGTAGAAAAGTATATATGTTGTGCGTCATCTATCATTTTGCGTCAGATGACAGATGACGCACCTCATTTATCAATTGGCATCTGACGTGCGTAACCTGTCAATCGAAATATGAGGCACGTTAGTTTTCACCTGACTTATGTCCGACGCAAATTTTTTTTTTTAAACTTTTTTTTGGAGCAATTTTTATTTAACTTTGTGATACATTTATATTGTAATACAAGTATAAAAAATTATTTGTTTAACACGAGCGCCCACTATGACACAATTTTTTCCTAAATTATATTATATTTGAATAAAAAGTTACAAAGCATCATCAAAATTATCAATAAATAATGCTATAATAATAAAATTTACTAATATTATATCGCACACCCCAATGTGTCATGAAATTCTGTCCCTTTTGAGATATACTATAATTGTTCTTTGGCATTGATGTTTAAAATTTTTAGAAATACTATGTATGAATAATCATTTGTTAAAAACCGATGAACCATAAAAAGAAAATATATGATCGACTAGTATTTTGCATGTATAACGAAATTAAATGCAATAAATGTTGTATCATTATCAGATTGAAGTGATTGAATGTCGATTTACATATCTCTTCTTCGGTCATCACATCATACACGTCTGTCATATTTGCGACATCATCCTCAAACTCGGGGTCAACTTTTGGTCTACTTAAAAACAACACACTCTCCTTCAAATCCCTCAGATGTTACTCCCTCAGATGCTAATTTACCTTCTACATCGCCTACCTGCACATAGGAATGGGGATCGGCTCATTAGTAAAATATGAGCTACATGCGCCAAATTTAAAACAGGTAGAACATGTGATGAAGATTGCTTATAAAAAAATTTGATTGGTCATCAAGCGATAATTGTTTGTGCCGTAAAAATTATGGTGACGCTTCTATTTTTAATATATTTAGAATCGGTTCCAGAAACGACTCATTTTGAGCCGATACCATCCTACCTACACATGATCCGGAAATTAATAAATTTTCTTCGATAAGAAAGTGGACCTTCAGTGCATTCAAGTGCGTGTTTAATAATAATTATCGTAGCATATTATTTAAACCACTTTCCCGATTTTCTAGCCAGAAAAAAATCCATACATCGTCCAAATCGGTAATAACTACGAATACAACATCGATTGAGCGAATATTTGCCATGAAGAGCTGTCCAATGGATTGAGGAATGTCTTCAATTCAAATCCAACTTGAATTACAGAAGCAAAAGTATAACACTCGGCATTTCATTTCTTTGCAATCATCATATCTGTCGTCCCGCTTAATCCGAAAGAAAGCTCGTCATCATTTAATGACCAAAGTGACCTTTGGATTTAGTGTCATAAAAGTCACTTCCATTGGGAACTTGAATGACTCTCTTTAAATAATAAATGTATCATTCCTTAGTAGAACCATCATTTATGATGTCATTTGCTTGTTAAGTTTTCATTTCGTGCGTCCCAGGTGAATGGTTCTGTGTGCTCGTATCCAAAACACACATCATAATCATTGGTTTCAACTGCAACTATGGGAATTTGGAAGTGATCGAGCAGTTAATCCAATTGCGATTGCTTCATTGTTGAAAGAGATACAGAAGGCTTCTTTGTTGTTCTGAAAATTAAGAAAATTAAACAAATGAGATATAAATTATTGGTAAGAAATGCTTAACAAATCTAGTTATATCTTTCAACAACTTTACTTATTTGTCGAACTACTTCTGTTAATGTGATCGTGAGTTTTTCAAATGCTTGTCTAATTGTATTAGGAGTATAAAATAAAAAAATATAAATTATTTTAATATTTTTGGTGATCTTGGCAATTTTTTCGTGTAATACGTGTTTCGCTTACCAGCATCTGTACATGATCTGATCTGCGTTCGAAAGAAATCTCCAACTTTGTTTGAACGAATAAATTTTCGGCCATTAATAGTAGTTGGGAAAAAAAATAAAAGCACTGGAAATAATATTGACAAAATACTTTAATACTTTCATAATCCAGTAACTTCACTGCGAGGAGTTTCTTATTTTTTTTTTAGAATTTTTATAGGTTTCTTCTTCGGACCTGTGATTTGGTTCGATCTGGTGATGCTTATTTTAATTTCTATTATTATTATTATTATTTATTTTGCTACCTGTTTATTATTTTTCCTTTTGAAGATTTTTAGATAATTTCTTTCGGCATCAAATGCTTTTATATGTTTCGGTAAGTTTGATTTGTATTCATTAATTTTAAGCTTTTTTTTTTTTAGTAGTTTTTATAAAACGATTTGTTTTTGCATCGGGCGAATAGATAGGGATTTTCTTATTAAATATTTTTCCTTCGATTTTTTTTTTATCCAAATTTCCGTTTAACTGCTTTAGCGCGCAGTGACCGAATGATTTCTCGTTCTCGTCATTTTTGGCACTTTTGGTTTTAAAACAAGCAAGCTTAACCAAATTCGGATAGCTTAAATTACCTATAACCGAAATACATTCTACAGTAATTACGAAATTGCCCGATTATTAAATTTTTTCAATAGATTTATTTATATAAAACAGATAGTCGATTATACAAAAAAAAAAAAATAGATAATTATTATGGAACAATGATAAAAAAAAAAGTATATAATTATTAAATTAAATCTTCTCATCTCTAGTAAATGAAATCATAAGAATCATTAATAATTGTAGAATAAACAGCTGGATATTTTTCCACCATCTTGTAATTAATAGGCCAATAAATAGCAGTGTTATAACAATTATTTTTATAATACCACCAAGCTTCCTTAATTTGGATTTATCAAAAGAATCATCATTTAATAGATTCTAATATTTCCTTACGCTTATTCTAGATTATGATGATCTTGTTCTAACGTTTCGAAAAATTCGGGTATAATTTGTCTACTATCATCGATTGTAATTACACGCCAAGAAGGGCAACCGGTTGGCCTTCTAACTAAATTAATCCAACCTTTTTGCGTCACTTTGGGTAAACGAAATTTAATTTTAAACTTGACTAATGAATTCATTGACCCAAACATGAGTAATGCTTCATCCTATATGTTTGGAGTTTCAACTAACATTAATTCGGTTAAATTTAACTTTGAAACATTTAAAGATCCTTCGTCATTCATTTTTCTAAAATCCCCGAGCGACAAGTACTCTAAATTTGGAAAATTCTTCAAAAATAATAAATTATTTTTACAATCAATTTTTACAAATGATAGTCTTTTTAAATTCTCCATACATTCATTAATTTAATTTAAATCATTCCCTGACTATATTTGATAGATATATGTATTTGACTGATTTAGATTTATATAAAAATGGAACCGTTTCACTTGATGCTGTTATATCTAAATATTCTAATTTTTTACAATTTTCCAGTAATATCATTGTGGAATCTTTAGATATGGCTCGTTGAAATATATCGATATAAAATATTCTTAAATTATTGCAATTTTTTCCAACTAACATAACAATCATTGATGGATCTGTTGTTAAACTTGTTTGATTAAATGTTATTCTAATCGATTGCAAGGAATCTTTTGCATTACTCGTAAAACTATTTCGGTAGCAGCAGAAAAGGGGTAAATGGGAGGGACAAAAATTTTATTTAGTATATATTTGACAATAATTTTTTTTTTAAAAGTTATAATATTTAATACTTTCCCACACCCGTTCAGAAATTTTTGGATTATGTAATTGAACACTTTAACGACTCCTAATTTAACGGTCTCGCTTAACGCATCGTGGTATTTCGCTTAATCATTTCTGTTGCTATCGTTTAAACCTCCTTTTGATCCCTCTTGCAAGTTATCTGAAACTTTACAAGCAGAAGGTATATTTGTATCATTATTCAAAAGATGTTGTCTTATAGTAACCAGCGATGACATTTCCATCTGTTGTTCGTCATAACTTTTATCACAATTCTCATAATCGGTTATTGACAAATCATTTATTCGATCCCCAAGCAACTCCAAAGGAAGTAAATACGCTTTATTTTTTCTTTTCTTATGAGAAATCTTAACATTAATTCTTTAAGATTTTTGCATTGTTCAGCAAAAAATTTAATTAATTTATCATCAATGAAATTTGGTTGTATTTCATTTACTTGTATTTCTAATATGAAATCTCCATAAGGCATTAATGGATTTTTTGATAGAGTGTTACGGAATGTTTTAAATGAATTATCATTCTCTATCAACCTTGTCTTCCAAATTTCGCCGAGACAAAGGTATGCGAAGTGACGACACGTGAAAGCAAGTGGTTTTAATACATTAACGGAATCGACAGAATCTAGGGTTGATTTTATAATCGATAAATGAATTTCTTTTGGGACTTGCATTAACTGCATTGTGATAAAAGTGCTAAAAAAAAAAAGTTGATTGAACACCTAAATATTTTTAAAAGAAATATAAAAAATAAGGACCTGAAAAGCTTTTTTAATAAAAATAACTTAATATGTCGAATATAAGATAAGAAAGAGACAAATAATTTTTTTTTTTTTATAATTGTATAGCTCAAGCCATATATAGTAAGAGATGACATTACGATAACAAATATTTAAATCATGAGGTTTAATTAAGGTGAACGTGATATAGTAAATCTACTGCGGCAATTTATTTTTTAAAAAGAAATTTTTTAAAATCCGTTTTTTATCCGGATTTTACGGGTATTAAAGATATCTTTGTAATTCGTAAAGATATCCGTGTATCTGCTAAAGCATATCCGTATCCGTTTCTTTGTTCATGGATTGGATATATACGAATAGACGGATATCCGGATCTAACAACTACATTTGGGATATTATCCGAAGTGGTCATTTTGGATATCCGAAGTGAGCATTTCATTTGGGTGATCATTTGGGATAAATGCACATTAAGGGCAATCGCATGTCCAAAAGATGCGCATTCCGATTTTGGATATCCGAAATGATCATTTCGGACATTAACGAAAACGAATCCAAACCAATATTTGTATAAAACTTTCATCTGAATAACTTTAATTTACTATGACAACTATTAGGGTCCCACAAATTTCATAATATATCAGCGACAATTTTAATAATGGTTATTAAATCACAAAGTGATTTTAATAGCCGATCACCAATATGCTAAATTTATTAAGAAAAGAATAAAGAAAAAAAGGAAATAAATTTATATTTCACAGCTTGATAAAATGTATAAAATATGATCTATTCTGAAACTTCTTCTGAAAACCATAACTCTTCAAGAATAATTTAAAGCACCATTTCTTTTCCCTTGTACTTTACATCAATAATGAAAATGTTGTTTGCTCAATTGTGTAAATTATACACTTTCTTCTTAGTTGCATTCGCAACCATAGCTGTAGGAGCACCTCTAGAAAATGAGATTATGAATCCCAACCTCAAACGAGCCAACATAGAATTAACATTACCTTACTGTCCCGCTGACCACCCTGTTTACAAAGCTTCACTTTGCAACAGTATAACAGAATTGATGGTATATTGTGGAATTGGAAGTGCGGACGACCCAGCTACAACCATCATAAGTTATATGAATTGTAAACCAGATGAAGTTTGTGTTGAACATTATCACGCCGTCGAATCTGAACTAGATGTTCCACATGCAACTTGTACGGATACTAAAAATAAATGGGATAATTTTGATAATCCCAATGCAATAGCCTGCTCAGGGAAAACGAGCTACATTTCTGGATCAAAAGATATAGAGATTGCAATAATTATATATGCATCAGATGGAAAACCGATACAAGTAGATTCTCTGTATGCAACTGAAAATGATAGTATGCTTTATCCTATCAATAATAATATGCACAATTACACCAATGTGCTCCGAAATTATAATAAGGAAACCATTCAATACTGTTTTCATACAGGTACCTATGCCGATGTAACAGCTTATGCTACTGCTTGGGGCATATCGGTTTAAAACATTTTATATGAATTTCGTAGTGTAGAAACACTTTGTATTTTTCAAATCAATAACTTTGTACTATCTGCTTAATGTCACAAATTTTTTTATATTTTCTATATTTAATTAAAAAATAAAATAATTCAATAGTCATGCTCTGTAATCAATACTAAGCGAACTTGCCATTACATCAATAAAATTTCTTATTTTAATAATCTTTTCCAGGTTAAATAAGAAGAGTTCCATTGCGTTAGTACATGTACATCTGAAATTATTCGTGCGTTTTGAGTAGTTACTCCTACTGGTATAAATACTAAGACTAATTTTTTTTAAAAAAATTTGATCTAAACAATCTGATAAACTATCTAGAAACATTTTTCTTCGAAAAAAAAAAAAAACCCTTTTCCTAGGGGTCGCCTTTACATAAAAAATCTTATAAAAATAAATTTTTGGCATTTTTCTGAGACTTGCGAGTGATTACAATATTGAAATTGTTCGTATCTTTTGGGGTAGCTTAGTTCACGATCCAAAGTTTTTTTATATTTATATTATTAATATTACTTGGTTCATATAGTGCTCCATGTAAAAGTTATTCGGGCCAGTATTTACATAACATGAATTCGACTCAACCCAATTATAGTTTAACTCGGAACAACCCGAGTTTGAATGCTTATATATCGGGTCTTTTTATAATATTTATTATATAACGATAATATTGAAATTATAAGTTTATGTTACAAAGTAGTATACCCTTCCATAAACGTACGTTTAATTTTTTGAGTATCAAAATTTGTAATGTTAAAAAGCGAAAAACGAATTATATAACTAAAAACACGAAAAATATAATAAAAATTATCTTGACTTATTCTAATAATTCTTTTCCTATAATTCTAGAATAATATTTAATCCTTCAATTATATTCTTCATCTCCTTTCAAGGATTATAAAATTAGTATTAGGATAAGGTTCTTTTTTCAAGCCAAATTTCAAGTGTCAAAATTACTTTTCTAACGACGTAACATGATTCGTCCGGAAATCTTCAAACTGGACTCTTCAGGGAGGCTTTGCTTAGTAAACGTTTTAATTAATCGTTCAATCTATTTTTGTTTCTTTCTAAAGTTTGATTTAAATATGCAAATTCTTTTGCTTTAGCATTTTCTACGTCTATTCTTAAGGCTCCTGTTAACATTGACGTAATTATCAATGCAACGGTTGATACTACTGCTTGCTGTTTCTAATTCTTCAGTTCCTATAGTTATTACCGCACCTACACCTATTGGTACACTAAACACAAAGCAAGCCCTAACTACAAAACAAGCGACTATGATGCTCCCAAAAATTTATTTGATTTGTCTTTTTTAAGTCCTTGCATGTTTTTGTATCAATATCGATCCTTCACTTTATTTACATCATAACCTACTAGTTCCTCACAAAGGGTTTTCATACCTTGATTGATAAATCAATTAATCTGATGGTTTTCAAATACTGTTTTATATTTTTTGGCATCCGATAAAAAGAATTTCAAGTATATCTTGATTAGAAATAGACTTATCATCACAATATACTAATAATGTATACCAAACTTAATACTACTTTAGGATAGTAAATTATTTTTATAGCAGCTAAAATAGAAAATATTTTATTATTTTCAATTAATCTATTCGTAATTTCAAAAAACTAATTCTCAAAATTCAATTTCAAAAAAAAAACTTATATAAATTTTTGTATTTTTAGATAAATTTTTTAAGGAAGGTTTTCTTGAAGAAGATATAGACTTTATTTTTATTTTTCTTTTAAGATACAGTATGGTATTCGATTTGGTCTTTAAGAAAAGTTTGACAAATAGTTGTAAAACCATTGGTAAAGAATTTGTTCTTTTAAGAAAAAAATAATACTTATAACAATTAAAACAATTGATATAAATTTTTTTTAAAAAATAATTATGCTTATTAAATTAATTGATAAAGAATTCTTTATTAAAAGAAAAACAATTCATATAAAACAATTAGTTGATACATTACTTTTTTTTTAAAAAAAATTATTTATAACCTTATTATTAAAGAATTCTTTTTTATTTATTTTTTAAAAAAAAAATGCTATATAAAAAAAGCTTGTAAATAATTAAAATAATTGATTAAGAATTCTTTATTTTTCTAAAAATTAAGAAAAAAATGATTTATAGTATATAATAATTAATACTTGTATTTAAGAAACTTTTACATAAATTATAACTAAATTGAATTTTTTAACTTTATAAATTTATTCTTTAAATATTCTTCTTTTATATTTAATTAGAAAGTATTCATAAATATAATTAACTTTTATCCTATTATATAATAATAATAACTTTTTAATTAAATAAATTCTTTAGTTAAAACCTATTTTTTAATTTATTGTTTCAAAATTAGGATTTATTGAAAGAAAATTTTTTATATTTAAAGAATTCATATTACATATATTCAATAATTAATAGAAATATTAATGTTTTATTTGAATTAAACTAAAAAAATATAAAAATATGATGTTTTTCTAAATTTTCTTGATATTAAAAAGAATTAATAATAAGATTTTAATGGTAATAGATATTTTACTAATTAGAATATTCAATTTCATCAAATTTTTAAAGTGTCGAATATTAGTTAATGATATTTTATCATATCAAAATATTGCATCATAAGGATTTGCAAAAAAATTATCAACTTTTTTAACATTTTTAACATTTTTAACGTTTTTATATTTTATATATTATTTTATATATTATTTATTATTATATTTATAATTTATAATATTTAAACTATATTTTATATGTATTAATTATTTTATTATTATAAATTATTTATTTTAAAATAATATTATATATAGATTTTCTTATATTTATATTTTATATAAATAAGATAAGTATAATTCATATGAAATAAAACTCATGGTAAGTGTTAAGAGGTTAGAATCCAAGGGTAAAGTATTCTAATAATACAAAATCTACAATAAAAAAATCTTTCTTTTTAAACTATAAACTTTATTTTTACTTTTGATATTTACATATTTATTGATTGATCTATATTTGGTTAATTGTAATAGAACTTATTTATAATAATTTAATTAAATATATGTAATACTCCTGTTATTAAGTCATTGTTCTCTATATTCGACAGTTAAGCCTAAGATTAATACTAAAATATAATCTAATTTCTACTATTTATTATCAAAACAATCAGCAAATTAAATAAATATAAAATCAATCATTAATCAGTATAATCAGCTTAAAAACAGTTAATAGTTAGCTTAAAAATAGCAAAAATCAATTAAGCAAATATTTATAAAATATAAACTAATAAAACTCATTTTTAGTTTATTTATAATTTATAATTTTATTTATTACTACATAATAAATTACTCAAAATGAATACATATTGCATTATATTTTATTCAAAAATGATACATTTGATTTTAAAAATAAGAAAAAATAAAGAAAAAAGTTAAAAATTACTATAATAATATTTTGAAAGACATACTTTAATGTAATCCTAAAAAAGTAAAAAAAAATAAAATAAAAAGTTAGAAAACTATCAAAATACCTTTTCTTAAAGGCTTATCTTAATATATTCCTAAAGAAAGTAAATAAAAAAATAAAGAAAACAATTAGAAACTATCAAAATATTACCTTTGAAAGACTTATCTTAGTGTATTCCTAAAGAAAATAAATAAAAAGTAAAGAAAATACTTAGAAAATCACTAAAATATCACTTTTGAAAAGCATATCAGAATCTTATTTATTAAAATTGGTTACTAGGTTAAAATTAACTTTTATAAATAATCTTATCTTATTCCAAAATTTTCTATACTAATTAATCTTACCAAAATTTTAATTACCTTTTTAAATTTATATATAATCTTATCTTTACTAGTCGAAATAATCCATTTTGTCACTTTTTTAAAGTGTCTTATGTTGGCTGAAATGTAATATAATTTTTGCTAATCATTACAAAAAAAATCAGCACTATGTTCCAAATCTACCTAGGTCAATTTGGGATACGGTTGTGTTTGATATAATATGTTTCAAACTTGACATAAACCAAACTAACTGGGTAAGTTTGGAACACGGTCAAGTTTGGGGTATCGGACACCCAAACTTGACTATATCTCAGATCCGATTTGGGATATTCCAAGTTGAATTTGAAACATGATCAAGTTTGGGACATGATAATCCCAAATTAGAAATTGCAGTTTGAGAAGTCCGAAATAGGAATTCCGATTTGGGATATCTCAAGTTTAACTTGAAACATAGCGACGTTTGGGCTACAACATTACTATGAAAAATCACGGGCGACCATTAGTATATAAAAAAATGAAGTTAAAAAATAATATTATTAGGTATACATGTCCGTTATCCTGATTTTAATTTAGCTTAGAAAAGATAAAGGCGTTGAGCTTTGAGACTATGATTTTTTAAAGAATCACGCCCTTTAAGTCTTTCTTTTAGTTTCCGGTCTGGTTCGCTTCTTTCAAATCGCAGTGATGGAATATTTTTTTAACCTTTAGTCTATCTATTTTTCCTTAAAAATTTTATTTCATTATTAGTTCTTTTAAAATTCGTGATGCTTATTTTTATTTTCTTTAATTTTAGATAAGTTATTTTTTTTGATTAGCTGAATATGTATAATATTTTTTTGAATTTTCTTTTCTTTAAATTCTTCTTTTCTTTTTCCTTTTCCTTTTTTTTTTATCTTTTTTTTTTTTTTTTGACATTTTGGGTTCAATTTTAACTTAGTATTTTTTTTTTGTGATTTCATGTTTTTTGATTCGATTGCTTCAAGGCCTTTTCTTTTCTCTTGGATTGGATAGTTAAGGCAAGATATGTTTTGTTTTTTTATTTTTAAGATATTTGTTAGATAGCTTCGGGCACATCGAAAATTTCGATTACTTGCACCCTTTTATTTTCTCTAGGTTCCTATTCGGCTGGATCCATAAAAAATTTTTTTTGATTATTTCATATAATTATTTTCTATGTTTTATTTCTTTATTAGGCGATACACAGGTAATGTATTTTCAAACTAAATTTCTCAACCTTTTTTTTTAGTTGAAGCAAGTTTATTATAGCTTTTTATATTCATATTTTGGATGGCTTTTTTTCAGAAATGAGCACGGTATATATTTATTTTTTTTTTCATTATTTTTATTAATTAGGTTAGATGCCTTTATATAGTAATCTAATATCTTTTTTTTTCCTTTGGATTTGGATTTCTTCAGAAAATATTAAAATACATTTTTGATTTTATAATTTAATTTATCATTCAAATTTAATATCAAACAATAAATTTATATTATACTCCCAATTTTTTTCTAATAGGATCACAAGTATAGTTAAATAACTCAATTAATAAGTTTAATAACATATATTCTTATTCTTATTTTATAAACAAATCTGAGATAATAGATTTAAAAATATAACCCATCTGATGTACCTAAAAATGTAGTCTAAATATTATGAAATTTTTAAAGGCAACCAAGGATATACTTTAAAATTAATACTACGATTAGTTGTGTTTAACAATATTAATAACCGCAATGTAAAAAATAACGTTAAAATAGGCTATCGGATTTCCTTAACCAAAAAATTAATGTATGATAATAGATGAAAATAGTTAATCTGAGAAATAAAATATCTTATGAGTGAATATTTCAATGTACAAATAATACCATGAATATCAAAACCTACGTCTATCATTACATAAAATCGGTATTAGTTTATATTTAAATATTTAAATAATCATTAAATTACCTTTTAATTGTAAATTTCTAATTCATATAATTGAGAATCTTGAAACAATTAAAATGCATAAAGTTAGTATTTATATTTTTACTATCAAAAATAGAATTTAGATAATACCTTTATTATTTTCATCCTTTTCAAGATATGAAGTAATAAGAGACGAATTAATAGGTTTTGTCAGATTTTTAAACGCAAATGCTCTACTTGTATATACAGCATCAGGATTTGTTTTACGTGAAATTAAAATATTTGGTATTTCTTTATCAGCATTTTCAAATGCTTCGTTTATTTCTTTTCGATAATATCCATGTTCTTTAGTATCTTTATAATTCTCAACATCATATCTAATAGAATTATCCCAAAATTCCAATATACTAATTAATTCATCGGCTGTTGGTCGTTGATTTGGATTTGCATTCATACACCTATAAGCTAATTCCTTATAAAATTCAGGGGTTCCTTTTCCAAATTCTGGACGAAGTCCATTACAAATATCTAAGGCTAAAGACACATGTTTTCTATCATAAAAAGGAGGATTTCCGGTTGATAATTCAGCCATAATTACACCAAAACTATAGATATCAGAGGCTAAGGTATATGATTGTCACTTCAAGACCTCAGGAGCGATATATGGTAATACTCCACATATTTTGTATTTCGATCCTTGCTTATCTGTTGATCCTAATAATCCAAAATCTGAAACGTAAGTAACTACTTCATCTTGCAATATATTTCTACTATGAAAATCCTTATGACAATATCCTAAATTTTGTAAATCAGTAAGGTCTGCAGTAATATGCCATAATTTTCTAATTATTTCTTTCCATAAAATATTGTTAAAATTATTTGAAAGAAAACTTCTCAAATTTCCACCAGGTAAAAATTTTACTATCATAATAAATTCTTTGGTTTCTGGATCCTAGATATTCCATAAAAATTTAATGAATCTTTATTGTTTTTATAAAGATCCCAATGTGCTTTAAGCTAGTTTTTGTAAGATAATTTTAATTAAAATAAAAATATTTTTATTTAATAAATATCAAATTTGAATGTAAATTAAAATACCTCATTTAAATAATTGGCTGACATTATCCCATGATCCATTTAACCTTTTCAAAGCAACCTTCATTGGTCCAGAATATCCTTTTTTCCAACTTTCATCTTCTTGCCTTCCAAATAAAGATTCACCGTTGCAGAATACACTTTGGCGAATCCTCCTTCACCAATTTCTTTTATATTTGTAAATCTATCAAAAGGCACCTATTCAAGAAATATTGGATTGTTTTTATTATTATTTGTATTTGCATTATATATTGTATCTTTGATGAATTTATAAATATCAGAATTACCACTAGTCCATCCTTCAATTATACACCGAAGATCACATTCTTTACACCATAATTTCTCTGTAAATGGTTTATCACAATAAGAACATTTACTATTTTCTGAGACATTTAATTTGTTGTATTCAGATTTTATTAGGTCTTGAATTTCATTTCCATGACTATTTACATCCATTATTTTTTTTAAAAAAAATCTGTAATTTCAAATGAGGATGGATATAAAAGGAATTATATGACCAAATTTGGATCAACGGAAAATATTTTCCGAACTAAATCAAATGATCGCATACTGCGGCAATTATTAATTTTGGCCAATAAATTTAGCTCAAAAATTTAATTATTTTAAATACAGATTTGACAAATTTCAGAAATGACAGAATTCGATTATAGCGATTTAATTAGACGCAGTCAAATTTTAAGAGTGAAATATCAAGAAAATTTAAAAAATGTGTAATATTCAGAGGTAACATGTTAATTGTGGTTAATGATTTTTAGGACGGTTTCAACTCTGATATTTCATCTTAAACGGTGCTGAAGTAAAGTAAAGCTTGTTGGACATTTACCTATATATATATTTTTTTGTCTAAATTTATAGTGTAAAAATTTGGATAAATTATTAAGTATCGATGACTTATACATCACACATGATTCGTTATTTCTCGTTAATGTGTTTGATAATCCTGATTTGGAATATCTGAATTAACATTACATTTGTGTGTTCATAACTTTAGATATTTGTGCCTCGAAAGAAAAATGATCGAGTAAATTAAACATGCTAGGATTTTTTTATTTTTCATTCAATATCATGCAATAGAAATAAATAAAAAAAAATTTATTGTCAGGTTAAAATATAAAAATCATTTTCATCAATATATCTTGAGTCACAAGACAGTAAATTATTAAAATAATTTTCTCCAAGATACAATGTATAACGTATATTGGATTTTCAGTTTATTTTATTACGTACATAAATTGTCAATAGATTTATATTCTACCTTTCTGTAACCTAAACCTTCTATTTGAATTAAGCTTTATTCACTAGCGTTTCAACCTCTCCTTTTTAATAAGATGAAATTATAAAATATTTGACTAGATCCATTAATAATAAAACTTACTGATAAATTGTAATTTAGAGTCACCAAATAATTTAGAACCAATTCTGATAATCTTTGTTCACTAAAAGTTTAAAATCTTGTTTGTGTTGTTATTCGAGCGACGTTTGTGCTTATTTTCAAAATTAAGCTATAATGTTCTCTAAATAATTGGAAACTTGGATCTATTATCTGTTCTTGTTAAAATATTTTAAATAAAAATGAAGATAAATTAAGTATTTAAATATTTTTTTTAATTTATTTTTATAATTTATATTTACATTTAAGTTTATTTATAAATTTGTATCTAATGATATAAAATTTATTTTAAATTAGGCTTCTTTTTCATTGGTCTATTTTTTGACGGTAAGTCGATAATTAACTTATAATGCAACCTTTACTTATAATTTTTTAAAACTACATTAAACATTTTTTTCGATAAAATTTGCTAACTTAATTAAATATGGTTTTTCCATATTAGTATGGAAATAGTTATTTGATATAAAAACCATACGTTCAATACATTCAAAACCATCCCATACTGTGTCATTAAAAAATATATTCGAATTTTTTTTTTGATTTTCGATCCTAATCGATTCTAATAGAATTAATTCCAATCCCCAAGCACAACAAATGGTAAAGATCACAAAGATTAAAATGCTTTGTAAAAAGAGAGTACAGCATATTCATTTTCTTTATTAGATTAATTATTGATAAGGAAATAAATATTTTGAGACGTAATTCTTCAATTATGTAAGCCAGTAGAAATTGTTCTGCATTAGTTTCCGATCTGACCAAAATACTTGTTCATATTATAGCGTTGTGAGCTCAGCGGCGTTGTTGCCAGAGTTTAGTTTTAATTATATTTCATAAAATAACACAAGTCCCAAAATTTAAAGTATATAGATAAATTTATGGGTATTTAAGATATTAGACATAAACGTTTAGCCAAAATAGAGGAATCGTTCTTTAGTCATTGTGGAGTCATCATCAAAATTACTAGGTAATTATGTTTAAATAAATCCAGATATAATAAATTAAGATATTTGGATACGATTTTTGTGTTTGGCAAATTTAGAGCAAGGTTTCAAATCTAACTGGAGAAACCGGATTTAAAACCGAATGTCAAATCTGGTTCCTATTGAGTTAAATGCATACATAGGTAAAGTTTTTTTAAGACTTTATTTTAATTTTTTTTAGTCGCCGCATGCTGCAGCAATCATTTAATCTTAGCTTTAAATTTTAGGGTTGGCTTTCTTCGATATTAAGCACAGTATGTATTTTATTTTATTATAGTAATTGATTAGTTTTTATATTTTAGCCATTATTTTTCTTTGGCTTTTTGGATCACTTCAAGAAATAGTAAAATGAATTTTGATTTTATAATTAATTTGTCTTGTCCAAATCCAAAAAAAATTAAATTATAATGCAATGAATGCAATGCTGCGACATTGGAGTTATGCCATAGTTTTTATGATAATCATAAACCACATGACGTAATCATAGATTGAGAATTGGATCACACAGTTAAACATTTTCATTTGCTTAATCACAATTAATATTTTAGTAATATCATTAACATACGTATTTTTAAAACAAATCTGAATATACTGTTCATTTTTTAAAAATATATAATTTCACATAATCATCTGAGATTTAAAAGGCAACCAAGAATACAAGAATTTCTTTAACAATATCCGGTAAAAGATTATCTGTAACCTCGAATCATCTCCATAATAATATTTTAACATTAAAATAGGTTATCTGTTTCCTTAACCAAAATTATGATGTTATTAATTAATCTGAGTAAACAACTTTATAAACTTTCAATGAGCAAATACAAATAATACCGGAAATATCAAACCTTCAATTATGGACGTCTATAATTATATAAAATTGGTATTAGTTTATATTTAAATATATCAATATTATTTCATTAAATTACTTTTTAATTGTAATGAGCTAGTAATTTCTAATTCATGTAATTGAGAGTTTTGAAATGTTATGTTAAAATGCATTAAAGTTAGTATTTTATATTTTATTATGAAATTGAAATATAGACAATACCTTCATTATTTTCATCCTTTCAAGTTATGAAGTAATAAGACACGAATTAATAGGTTTTGTCAATTTTTTAAATGCAAATGCTCTACTTGTAAATACAGCATCAGAATTTATTTTACGTGAAATTGAAATATTTGGTATATCTTTATCAGCTTCTTCAAATGTTTCCTTTATTTCTTTCCATAATATCCATATTTTTTATTTTCTTTACATACCCAATAAAGATCAGTAGACTCAAACCAAAATCTTAATATTTCTCTTAAGTCTTTACTCGTTGGTCTTTCATTTGGATTTGCATTTATACATCTATAAGCCAATTCCTTATAAAATTCAGGAGTTCCTTTTCCAAATTCTGGAAGAAGTCCATTACAAATATTTAAAGTTAAAGACGCGTTATGTTTTTTATCATAAAATAGAGGATTTCTAATTGATAATTTAGCCATGATTATACCAAAACTGTAGAAGTCAAAAGCAAAAGTATATGATTCTTCATTCAAGACTTATGAAGTAATATATGGTAATACTCATATATTTTGTCATTCGAATATGGCTTATCTGCCGGTCTAGTTAATCCAAAATCTGAAATATAAGAATATTCTTTATCTTGCAACATATTTCCACTATGAAATCCTTATGAAAATATTCTAATTCTTGTAAATTAGTAAGATCCCAAGAAATATAATATAATTTTTGAATTTTTTCTTTCCATAAAATATTTTGTTAAATTATTTAAAAGACAACATCTCATAGACATGAACATGAGGAAGGTAGATGTAAACAAATAAAACCAAATAACAATTACTATATGATAGATGCATAATACAGACTACAACAGATGTTAGAACCAGTTTCATGCAAATATGTGATAAGCCTAGAACAACATGATCTGATGATACCAAAAGAAATTAGAATGCTTAAAACCTAAAAATAAGATACTTACAA